GAATGTCATCTCCTGACATCAGTTGGTATTACTGGGAACACAGCCAGATAAAAAAGTTCTACATGCTTTTGCAAGATTATCATTTGCATCTTTCCTACATTTGAATGATCTATTATTTGAGAGTAGAACTACTATTTTCTTTGGAAAATAGTAGAGAAAATATCATGAACCTAATAATTGCAGTTTTCTCGATCTATAAAAACTGCATAAATTTGGAGACGTAATAGTGGAAAATTTGAATGGTAGAAAGATAGTCTCTACTATCATTTGTTTTTCAACAGAACAAATAAAATAAGGAAAACCAACCAGAAAGTTGGGATGGAGCTGACAAATGTTACCAGAGAATTACTGAGAATTAAGTAAAATAAATCAACTTAAATGAAATTCTTGCTAAGTCTTAAGTCATATGCAATTAAATTGAAATTATCTAAACAAAGACAAGTATTGTTTTCTACATGAAAGGTATTATTTATGAAGGGTGCCCTTTCTTAAATCTTGTGATACTGCATATATGGTATAACTTTAAAGGATGAAGACAAATTTAAGAAAAATCTGTTACTTATTAAGCACCAGAGGAAAAGAAACAGCTTACCTCTATATGCTGCTAAATATTGTTAGGCAGTTTTTGAAAGCGAAAGTTGTTTTGTTACATTTTTGATTCTGCAAGACTGAAAAAAAATTACCTGATATATTTTCATGTTTTTTTTTAACATCAAAGTAAAATATACTAAACTTTGTCATTCAGGCAAGCATGCCCATCTGAAATAGGTCTACCCTTGATACCTAGCCATGGTTTGATACTCAGACATCAAGCCAGTTCTCCTTTTTAGCTATCTACAACGACATTTATTCCATATGTTTTCTACCATTCAAATTTCCCACTATTACATCTCCAAATTTACACAGTTTTTATCAATCGAGAAAACTGCAATCATTAGGGTCATACTATTTTCTCCATTTAATAATATATGTCCCTATTTTTTCTCTTATTCAGATACAGATGTCTCTCCTATCTTTCCAAAGCTTGGGTATCTACTAAGTTGTTCATTTTAGAATATGGCCCATTTTTCTGAAGTAGTGTCAATGGTAGGGTGGGATAGGGTGGGACTCAACTGTAAGAAAAACACATAACCAGGTGTCAAACACCAAGGTGGGGGTGCATGTTCTCCTTGGAGAGCACCATTCTCTCAATCCTTAACCAGCTCACTATTGAGAAATTTAGCTTTATTCTTTTCCACACTTATTCTTTTTGTTTTTCAGGAATTGTTAAGACTCATTTAGCACCTTAGCATTAAAACACACACACACACAATAAAACCCCTCACTCACTTCTGCTGCCATGCCTTTCTACAACCCCGCCCTTCTTTTACAAAGTTCCTCAAGCCATCTCCATGRTATCTTATACTTCTCAACTCCTCTACTCTGCTTCCACCACTACTTATCAAAATCACATTCTCAAAGTTCACGAGTAGCCTAATCAGAAAAAACAAAGGCATTTTCCAAGTGTTTTATTTTCTTGAGTCTGTGGTCTCAGTGCTCTCCTTGGTGTACACCTTAGCAGGTGTACACTGCTTTTGATTCTGAATCACTTCTCCAGCTGGTCCCTGGTGAGACCATGCACATGCAGTAGCTCCCTTCTTCTCAGTCCTAAGAGTAAGTTTTCTCCAAGGACCAGCTTTACTTCTGTTTTTTTTGCTCTTAATATTTTCCTTCTGGGAGTCTATCTACTGGTGTTGATAAATTATCATAGGTATGATCAGCATTCCCAAACTGACACCTTCTGCTCTACTCGTGATAGAGCATCAGAGTGGTCCCTCAAGCATTCATTGGAAGCTCCTTTTTCAAATTCTCATCACCACTTCTCYCTTAAAATTGCTAACCCTGAATTGTGCATCTTCCCTTTCAAGTAGTCTGTGTGGATGGCACTAATTCTTCCGGGGCTTTATTTCAAACTCTTGATCTTCCTTACTTCTACCTCCTCAGCTATAATGTATATCATTCTCTAGATCATTCCTTTATAAACACTTACTGGATTGAAGTTCTATAAAGAAGTTATCAAGAACATTCACTTACATCCAAATGTGCCCCACTCTTCCCAGTTCAGAATTTTGCCCAAACATCTTCATTCACCTTTCTCTCTCTACTACTCAAAAGTTTGCCCATCCTTGAAGGCTCATCTCTGCCAGAATGAATTCTAGGAAACATGGAAGCATGGCCTAGTTCTACCAGGGAGAAGAACTACTCTCTCTCACCTAAATCCCATCACACTTTATTTATACGTTTGCTATTTCATCTACCAGACTGACTTGCATATGAATAATACAGAGAAGTTTGTTCTAACTGTAGTTTATGACCTCTTGGAAAGCAGTAAACTATCTTTCCAAGTTTTCTTCCAAGTTAGATCCATAACTGTGSTATAGATGCAGTAAGAGTTTTAAAAAAACAAGACAAATTCAATGAAACTGCCCACCCGCCTATATTCTCAGTGGCTCAGAAGGCTGAGACAGRAGGATCGTGAGTTCAAAGCCAGCCTCAGCAATAGCAAAGTGCTAAGCAACTCAGTGAGACCCTGTCGATAAATAAAATATAAAATAGGTCTTGGGGGCTAGGGTTGTGGCTCAGCRGTAGAGCACTCACCTCGCACGTGTGAGACCCTGGGTTCGATCCTCAGCACCACATAAGAATAAATAAGTGAAATAAAGGTATTGTGTCCAACTACAACTAAAAAAAAATAAATATTAAAAAAAAATAGGGCTGGAGATGTGGCTCAGTGGTTGAGTGGCCCTAAATTCAATCCCTGGTAGGAAACAAACTAAACTAAACTGAGATAGGATATGAGCTAGGCCTTGGAATARCAGTAAATATTAAGAGCTATGTGCTCCTGTTTGAAAGGCTGATAGGCATTGGGCATATTATCTCTAAAAAACAAAAAGCCAGAAAAGAAGGGGTCAAAAACCTCAAAGATCCAAAACATAACACCCCCCCCTAAAGTGAAGAACTACATTTAGAAAAGAGTTTATTATCTAAAAGCTTAATTTATCTATCTGGAATTTCCAAAGACTAACAGCTTGGTTGCAGTTATTATTGGTTTGACTGCAATATGTTTTTGATTTTCACCTTAACAGTTTTTATCTGATTTGGTAAAAATCACCTTAACAGTTTTTATCTGATTTGATAAAAAAAAAGACTTAAAGTAGACAAAGGTATATAACAATTAGAATAGTTACTCGTGAGTTGAGAGATCCAAGACAGAACCTGATGCTCATGATAGTTCTGACTTTTTTGCTTTTCACAACTACTTCAGGCTCTAAACTTCCATCAAACTTCAGTTATTAAAAATATTTTGTGTGTATAATTCTGAATTGTTCTAGTTAACATGCAATATCTGGAATTTAAATTATTTTTGATTCTGTGTATTACATTTAAAATTAAATTTTTGTACTTTTAAATAATCTTTCCAATTTATATGACAGAGTGACCAATTCCAATGTGAAGACAAATTATGGCAAACTATGCCACATAAGAAGTAATATATTTTAAGCAATAATTTTAATTGATACACACATACACACTCTCACACACACTTAGTACTATTATCAAAGCGCTTCATTATTTTGAAGGGACATGACCTCAACAACTTGCTCCGTCATTCTTAATATCAAAACATCTTTGGTGGCAATGATCAGACACCATGGACTTCCTTATCTGGGCTTACCTTTACTATTGGTTTTGAATCACCAAGAATTAATATTAATATTAAGAATATTAATTAATTTTATAATTAATATTATTTCATCATCAACCTTGTATCAAATTCTACTTTAATATAACAGATGTGTACAGAGTGAGCATGGTTGAGGGAAAAGAGATAAGGAGGAGACTGAGGCAGAGAGGGCAAAGCACACCTTCTGTGAGAGAACCCTAACTTATTGAATTGGTTTAGATTATTTAATAATCAAATTAATAATGGACAAAAATAAAACCATACCCACTGAAAGCTCAACTCAAACAACCAGACTAATTTGGTTTTATTTTCCCAGTGACTTGAGGTAAAYACAGTGATCCATACACTCATTCTGACCAGGTGTATGTGACATTTGGGGAAAGCTCACACTTATGATGAACTCACACTTACAGTACTGTGCATGGGACTCTCTTTTCACAATATTTTTTAGTAGCATGTACAAAAGTGATCAGCAGAAGTAAAAATCTCCACCCACTTCATTTTTATTTGGTATGTTTAGAGTCAGGTAAACATCAAGTGCTATGAGAAAAAAAAATTATATTTCTTTAAAAAATACACTAGGAGGAGAAATAATTTTCTTAGTGTAAAACTCAGCCTTTATGCTGTCAGGCCAAGTAATTATGGAAGCAAAACAAATCCACATTGTCTAATTAGGTCATTAAAAAAGCATAAATGCGTCATGGAAGTTTTTCTCCTGGCCTGAGACATAAAGTAAGACAATGAAAAGAGTCTGGTAATATAGAAAGGTTTCAAATTTGTTTCTTTTCAAAAATAATAGGTCCTTTCATCTTTCTATTTCCCTTAGATGAAGACAGTTAATTTAGAGACAAAATCTTTTAATTAGTTCAGAGTTTACCCTGATTGTATTTCAAAATATTTAACCAAAAACAGGAAGACAGAGAGAGAGGAAAACAGAAAATACATGGAAAAAATATCAAAGGAAGTGAATTAAAAAATCAAGAGAGTGGGTTGTTGATCAAAATGTCTTCTGCAGAGACAAGACGAATATAAAATCTCTGTTCACATAAACACGAGCCATCGGGGATGCCAGAAAGCTCTCAGGAGGAATATATTGGCATCCGCCTTTGGGGATGGAAATCCAGACTTTAATTACAGCTAACTTAAATAAAAACAAATGGCATGATTACGGTGCTTCTTCCTCTCTCGACTTACTGTCATTTCTTGAGTTTCAGAAAACTCATGGCTCCAAGCATTAAGTAACAAAATGGGGAAAAGAGAAGGCCGAGGCACCTACCTGTGAGCCCCTTGGCCCTCGTTTGTGGTCCCATTCMGAGTGTCCCAGGAGCTGTAAGGTAACATTACAACTACGGTCAATTAAATGATCAGGTGACGTGATCAATCTTTTTATTCTTTCTTTTGAAGAACAATGAAGTTACTGAAATCTGTGTTCTAATAGTAATACATTAAATAATCATTGTGAATAAATCCACACACCTGAAGACATAAACTTGGAGTTTGATAGCAAGCGTTTCAACCTCTAGTTATTTTGAAGGTGCACATCAGTAGGTGACAAAAAGAACTGGCAAATATATAACTTTACTGTTCTTTGCCAGGAACATTCTAGATAGATGTCAAATCCTGTAAAGCTTTATTTGCATAGCATGAAGCTTTCCAGTTAAGTAGGAAAATATGCTGAGTGATCTAATAGTGTAGTCTGACCTATTGTCACAAATAAGAACCAGAAGCTCAAAACATTTCAATAATCTTTAATTCTATTTTGGTAATATCACCAAAACATGAGAGTTCTAAAAATAATAGTATGATATAGTGTGAAAGATGCCCCTGAAATCCCAACATTTATTTTTTTCTTAACAAAGACTATAAAATATCAAGTTATTTCCATTGTTGTAATAGCCCCCAGCTGTTCTGCCTACAAAGCAGGTTATTTATTTATTAGAAAAACATTTATAGAAGAGCTGGATGTGGTGGTGCACACCTGCAATCTCAGCTACTCAGGAGTCTGAGGCAGAAGGATGGAAGCTGGAGACCAGCCTCGGCAAGTTAGCAAGACCCCGACTCAAAATAAAATTTAAAAGGGCTGGGGATGTAGCTCAGTGGTAGAGGGCTTGCTGAGCATGTGTGAGACCAAGTTCAATCCCCAGTACCCTCCCCCTACCCTCACCCACACACAAATAAAAAGAAAGAAAATAATATTTACAGAAAGAATATTAAAGAAAGAAAAGATATCAACTGAGGGTACTGAAATTCATTTGTCCACCCAACACACTCGCTTTTCACAAGAGCCAAAGAACTATTTGCAATAAAGTACTGTACCCCCAAGGTGGGCTATACATGTATTTATAGACATCATTTATTTTTCTGTAAGCAATGGCTTCTTAGAAGTAAGTTTTTCATGATAAAACAATAAAAAAGATCAACTGAATGTTATTAAGAATTTTTCTATAATGATAAAAGGTTAATCTTTACTGAGGAACATAGAACAGTTAATAGAATACTTTTAAATAAAAATATTTTTTAATCAACCAAATATAAATTTTACCCGAGGGAACATATAAGAATCCATTATGTTGAATGATTAAATCTAAAAATCTAATGTACAACATAAGACCTAAAGTTAGTAATATTTATTATAGATTTGGAAATTTGTTAAGAGAGTAAATCCTAGACACTATTAAAACACACACACACACACACACACACACACACACACACCCCAAAGGAAAAAAAAAGAACAGAACAGAGAAAGTTAATGCAATGAGATGAGACGAGGGCATTTTCTTAACTGTAGTTATCACCTCACTATGTGTACTGATATCAACACATGATGATGTATAGCTATGTCTAAACCATAGAAAGAGCATCACTTAGAAAATATTACAAAGAAGAAAACAGCCTCCTGATTATTAAAACATTTTCTAAAAACCTAATCCCACATGTGGATAACCAAAATACAAATGAATGAAATATAGTGGGTTGTTTGAAATACACACAGGTATATTTCGCACCAAAATGATGAAAAATAAAATGTTAAAAAAACAAGAGTTTAATGAATTATTCAACAAATGAAAAAAAAAAGAAACAGGCTTTTTTGGGGGAAAACATTATGAGTTTAACCTTATAACAAATACTAATTTGAATTCTACATTTGAAAGAATCAATTTATCTTAAAATATGAAATGGTAAATATAAAATAGAATAAAAATCTAGGTAAATATTAACCTGCTTTGGAAAATAAAAATCAAACTTGAAATAAATGTGAACCTTTCCTTCCTTCCTCTCTCCCTCCCTCCCCCCCTCCCTCCCTCCCTCTCTCTCTCCCTCCCTCCTTTCCATTCCCTCCCTTCCCCTCCTCTTCTCTCCCATGCCCTCCAGTGCTGGCAACTGAACCCATGGCCTCATCCATGCTGGGCAAGTGCTYTATCACTGTGTTACAACCCCAGCCCTAAACTGTTTCCTTAAAGATCTTTTTCCACCCTAAATCACAACATAGGATCAATTGATCTGGCTGTATAAAATTTTTAAATGTCTTTACAAATTTGCCACTGCTAAAATACCTGCAGTAAATAGTAGGTAAAATACAATGTTTAAGCACATTAAGAGTGCTGACGAATTTGAAAGAAACACAACTCTCATAGAAAACTTGAGAGAAGGATAGGAACGATTTACAGAAGAAAAAAAAATCAGTACTTGATTCATTTATGGAAAAGTTTTAACTTTATTTGAAATGAAAGAAATTCAGTATAAACAATAAATTCAGTATAAACAATATAATACTACTGCTGCCTATTAAATTAGGAAATTAATCATGATGCAAAATGGATGAGTTAGGGAGAAATGTAAGCATATACATTGCTAGATTACAACATATATATGCATACTTAATGTATATAATTACATTTACAAACATTTATAAAACATGGATATAGTTACATATACCCAAATAGCCTTAGAAATTCATACCCTTTGAACTAGTAAAACCAAATGTAAAAATCCAATAATTATAATGTGTTAACCACTGTGTCTCCAACAAATGAGAAATTATCCAAGAAATGATAGTATACAAAAGAATAATATACAGCAATTAAAATTAGGCTTTCAAAGCCATTACACAAACATTGTGCRCCTGAGGTGGTACACACGTGTAATACTAGCAATTCAACTCTGGAGGCCAAGGCAGAAGGATGGCAAGTTTGAGGCCAGTCTCAGCAGCTTAGAAAGACCCTATCTCATAATAAAATAATTAAATAAAAAGGATGAGGGATGTAGCTCTGTGATAAAGTGCCCTGGTTGCAATCCTTAGTACCTGTCCCTGCCCCCCCTCCAAAAAAAAACACTTGAGAAATACAGTTTAGTATGTGAAAAAAATACCAAAATAATTTTAACCTACTCATTTTAGATAAGACATAGCCAATCACTGTAGGCCTTGAAATTTCTTCAATGATTTATTTTTAGTTAGTTTGACTAGTACACAATTTTAGAAAAATTAACTCAGATGATCATTATGTAAAATTAGAAGCTTATATAATTGATATTTCTTTAATAATTTAGCTTTTAAATTATTCTAATTTATTGGCATTACTGCTAATGAATACCCATTAATACTAATTAAAATTTGATTATAATAAGGTTCACAAACACTAATCAAATAAAGAAACTGTATGATTTAGAAATATTTAAATTACAACATTTAATTAGTTGTTAACTAGAACTATCAAAAGCAATTCTTGGCACATTTCAATCATTTGCCTTATTAAGAACTTGGGAATATCTTGCATTAATAACTGGAAGACTGGATGCTTGTTTTTGGCAACTTTAACGATAAAATAAACTTGAGCACCGGGCTGCAAGTGAAATGATTTATCATAGTCTTCTAAAAACATTTTATAAAAGGCTGGCTGTTATGGATGAGTTTAAACTCTCAGGGTTGGAATAATAGTAAATTCTACTCTGCATGGGTATCACAGTTAAAAAAACTAAATACCAAATGCAAATTATAATTCAAAATATATTGATTTAAAAAAAGAATATTTGACAATGACAATATATCAAGAAGTACACATTTTTTCTAGGGCCAGAACTAAAATATGAAGAGCACAGAATTCAGTGCCCTCTTCCAGTAACTAGCTCGTGTTATTAAAAGAGCAAAAACAGGGGCTGGGGTCGTAGCTCAGGGGTGGAGTGCTTGCCTAGTGCTAGTGAAGCACTGAGTTTGATTCTCAGCACCACTTAAAAATAAATAAATAAAATAAAGGTATCGTGTCCATCTACAACTAAAAAGAATATCAAAAAAATAAAAYATTCAAAATGTATATTCATTTGGGTCATCAATGAACACAGAAAAGTCAATTTGATAAATCACAAGTTGAACTTGTAAAACAAACTTCCATGTCTAAATCTGTCTTTTCCTTAAAGCATAAAATAGTACAATTTGTGAAATGTGATAAGTATCAAAGTTATTTCCTAGCATTATATGACAGACTAATTTAGAGTGAAGAAATTCTATTTTGTCCTGTTCTTATGCATTTATATTACATATTATTATATTTGAAAGCTGTAAGTTGAGCACATACATAAGCTTAAAATGCACACCACTGGTACATTTTTCCAAGTAATAAAGTTATAGAAATCTACATGCTAGGTGAAATATTGTAAACAGAAAAATAACTCTACCTGTGATACACGAGATGCTAGGACGTTCTCTAGTCAATAAGGAGGAGAGCATTAAAGGAAATTAACAGGATAGTTTCTCCTTTGGACTTGAGAAAACCACACAAAGATTTTTAGTATTAAAATTCTATTTTTAACTAAAATAATTGGAACCAAAATTTATCATTTATTATTTCAGGGTATAGAATTTATTGTGGCATCCTCTGTCATTTTGTTTCTTTAATGCAGAGACAGAGGCAGCAGAGGAATGAGACCTGGATAGAGTGTCAAGACTACCTCTCTCCAWGGGGATAGCACACTGGGAACTAGAGGGGGATTGGGGTAGAAGGAAAATAAGCTGCATCTTATAATAGCACATAATAACATGTACAATTTTATTCTGTAAAACTATTTTTGTATCGTAAGAATAATATCCTTGGATCATAAAGCATAGAATAAAATAAGCAGGACATTTTCAGTATTCCTTTTTAAAAAGTCATCCATAATGTGATGAAATGACTTACTAAATACTATAGACCATTTAACCTRAACAATCAGTGGAGAACATTTCTAGTATAGCAGAACTACAGGGCTAAATGTTTTGCAAAGTACTATAGATGCTTCCCTATCCCCACTCTCCAGACTATTGATTATAACCAATAAAAAACACTGTCA